TCTCCTAGTGGGAAGGCGATGACTCACTGAAATGTTTTCTGGTGCAATATCTATACCAATTAATTTACCAATATCTATTGTAATTTGGTTCGTTGATTCTTCATTTAAGTTTTCTGGTGTCGGTATTCCTCTAATTTCCACACATTCTCTTCTACTGTATTGTTCTAAGTCATTATATGAGTCAGACAGCAAAGAAAAGTTTTCTTCCAGAGCTCTAACTGAAGTTTTAAGTACTTTATTCTCGTCATTTACCGTTTCTTCTCATAATTTTCCACTTTACATCGCATCTCTTCATACTTTTCATCGATAAAATTAGCGTGCTTTAGAACATCAGCTACCTGAGACTTTAGTTCGATTATAGTCAAATTCAAAGGAGCAAGCTCAAAGGAGCATGTAACACATTTTGATACGGGGAATCTCGTGGTATGATTGATTTTTTTCTTAAACCTTGGGAAGTTTGTTTTTTCTTCACTTAAAGTAGCCTGAAATTTTCCAGAGGACTGGGAACTACAGATTGCGGCTTGTGACGTCACACGTTAGAGTTGTTGTTTTGACTCCATGTGCAAACACTTTGAAAAGACTATTCATATCGCAAGCTACGACGTTTGCAATTCAATTTTTACGATGTCCGATCTCGATTCGATTTCTAACACATCAGATATTGAGAATAGTGATGTAAGCGATGATAGTGAGAACGAATATGTGTTTTCTGGCGAGTATTTACCATACCAAAACGAGCCATTGGCTAGCAAAAGTGAATCAAGTTCACAAGACGACGATGAATTAGATGAAGATGGGCTTTCTGTTGAGATTTTAAGACAACGTTACGAAAAAGAAGTGCCTGTGGACAAATGGTAAGTCCTTAAAAGTTTTTACATCGGGTTGAGTTTATTTAGATTTATGTTAACCTCTCGAAAATTTAATTTATAGGTGTACTTGTGGAAAATGCAATCACCTACATCTTGTTGGCGCACGAGAATATCGTTGTTGTCGCGAGGTTATTGAATGCGTCGGCAAATATACGTATATTGGACAGAACGTTGGGTGCATAACGGACCATGAGGATTTCAGTTCACTAACAAACAGAACTGTTCTACTCGAAGTAGCCACATTATTGAGGAATAACGATGGGAAACGATACAGAAGACAACCTGGTAACACAGAGAATCAGTAAGTTTGATTTTGCAATTTCAATTATACAATCCTATAAATTTATTAGACACTTTATTTGCAATCACTGCATGGTGTCTGGATAAATGCAAATAAAAACCACCATACTGGTTATCTGTTATCTTATCATTTATGAGACTTGGAAGTTCTGCCATACCCCCTTTCTGTCATGTTTTTCAAGCTATATACAGACTTATAATTTTGTAGAATATAATATATGAAAATGACAACCTTCTGGGGTAAAACAAACTATATGTATGTATATATGTAAGTATAAAAATACACTTGTTCATGTGCAATTCTTAAATCAAAATCAATTGTGTAGGTTTGTTCGAGCAGTGGGCTATCGATGGCTGGCTAAATGGTTATTCGGCTGTATGGGATGGGAGAACACCAGACCACTACCAGCTTGCTTGTATCATGAATTGAGAAGTCGCTATGGCAGTACTCATGTGCAAGGATATGTATCTGGACAAGAAAGAGGAAATACGGCATAACAGCTATGCATTTACTTAATTTTTAAACATGTATTTATGATCCTAGGTAACCAGTCATCTGAACCCGACTCACATTTTACAGTTGTGCCAAAAGAAGCGTGCCAAAAAATGTTGACCAATTCATTTCCTAACTTGAAGGAACTAATCAAATTTTATATTTTATTTTTGACCAATCTGATTGGTCAATGAAACAGGAAGTTAGGAACAAATTAAAGTTTAATTAGGGAACAAATTGTTGAGGAATTGTTCGACAGAGGTGTTCCTTCAAGTTAGGAAATGAATTGGTCAACATTTTTCAGAACACTTCTATTGGCACGACTGTAAGTATTTTGTGTCAACTATACAGCATATATGACCTATACATAAGCTCTCAGTTTTAGTGAGAAAGGAAAAAAGTAGTACCTGAGACCATATAACCAGGCTCTACAACCTAGTTAGTTATCCTGATGACTGAAATATAATAACGTTATAGATCTTTGAAGTTACAATTGTTCTTGAGTTTTTTAAATAAATATTTTTCAACAAACAAACACGTACAATTGAAATATCATTTTATTGTAGCTCAAGTCTCCTCTGCCTGGTTAACACAATGACCACGTGGATGCCCTAACATCGGATTCTTGCATTTCCTGCAGCATCTCTGTTTCTTTGCAGGTGGTTGGGCTTGCCTTGCTGCCTCAGCCTCTTCAAGTTTCCTTTTAAGAGTTTCTTGCTCTTGGGCTAAAAAATATTGATCATAATTCAGTAAACCTTTTAAAACTGGCTTAATTAACCAGTACTTATAGTTTATTGGAGGAGGGTCACCCTCCCCATCCCCCCCACTCTAACTCAGGACTAGGGTTGGATTTCAATATTCTATTCAGTTATTTGTTTCTCTTATACCTGATGGACGAAGTTCAACAACTTGCTTTTTTCTTTTCCCATGTTCTTGCACAGCTTCAACTTTCGATTTTCTGTCTGCAAATTGGGTGTTGAGTGCTGCTGGAACCTTTGCCAAATATTTGTCCCTCATTTTGGTCAAGTCTTCCTTGCTCAAAGTGAGTAAAACTTTCTTAATGCATGCAACATATTCTTAAAAATATTAAAATGAAAAAGATATTATTACACTAGCCTGGGATGTAACAGTTGTAATGCATTAAAAAAAGGAAAACTCGCCATACGTTGGTGGTACCGATACTTCTCTAACAACTTCGTCACCCAATTTGAACTTGGGATATGTGACGTGGACATACGTATTTCCATCCTTTGCTGTTTGACTTTTCCGATTAATGTTTTCATTGAAATGCAAGCTTGCCAGGATATGTCTGTAGAACAAATAATAGAACATGTGCATAGAGTACCGTAAGCCAGTGGGCATAGCCAGCCAAGAGGGGGGAGGGCAAAAAATTGGGCGTGCCTAACTCAAACAAGTTGCATGAAAACTGAATTAGGAAACTGAGCAACATATTCATAGCCATATTCATAGCCATATTCACAACATATTCATAGCACACAATGGGAAAGCTCAAAAAAGTCTTGGAACAAAGTTGATGTTTTAATCAGTTTGACTCATCATCAGGGCACTACATCAGGCTACTGCACTTCACTAGACTAAGCATAATTAGGTTAACCCATTGATGGCCAGTGCCCTACCACTGACGAGAAAAATTATCTGGCATTAGACAGAGTAAATACTAGAGTAGAGCGTGTTTGAGTGCATTGCCCACTAATGGGTTAAACATAACATCAATGGTACTGTAACTGCCTGGTGTGACTTTGAAAATTGGTTCATTCTGTCCACTTCCTGTTTTTATTCAGTACTTCACAGATTTGATTTTGTAAAATTAAAAGGTCGCCAAATTCAACCAATTCTCAAAAGTCACGCCGGTTTACAATAAATAAAATAGCTTACCTGCAATATGTGCCAAGCCATGAAACACAAAGCATTTTTGGGTGCCATTGGTTTAGGGTGGAATGAAAGCCTTCAAGAGCACTGGTTTGTGCATCTGGGGACAATCACTGTATGTCATTCAGCACAGTTTTCTTCATGAGAATAACCTGCAGTTTGTCATATGCTTTTGTTCCTTCATATATAAATAAAAATTAATACTGTATGTTACTACCATGAAAATGTAGTAAATTTGTCTCCGAGCCGGCGGCGCGAAGCCCGAACACCCGGGGAAATGAAAGCATTAGCGAAGTCTAAAGTTCATCAAATATCGCGGGCGTGGCTCACCAACGAAGTTTCGGTGGGTGGTCATCCTCACTGATCTCAAAATATGTGGCGGACTGTCATGAATAGCGAACACTGATTGGTCAAATTTAAAATTTGTTGTTGTATGACGAATGACGACTTCAACTGACAGATACTTTATGAAAATATTTTGGTTTTTGCACTATAGCATTTTGTGCGTTTGCAAAACTTTTCACAGCTTTAAAAGCAATTTGTTATACAAAAGCTTTCCAATAAAACAATTACGGTATCAAATACCAATTGAAAATATATGGAGCCAAACGAAGAGCGACAAGAAAACGACAAGAAAGCCGAACGGCTAGCGAAAAGAAGGGAGCGAAGACGACAATGTTTGCTCGAGGAGACTGCTGAGGAAAGAGAAACTCGCCTGGGAAAGCGTAGAGCAGCATGGAAAAAAAAGACTGCCGAAGCAAAAGGTAAGCAAAGGGAGTATAAGAGAGTCTGTTATAGGCAACAGAAAGAAGCTGGAGAAAGTACCGAGGAAAAGGAAACTCGCTTGGCAAAACAAAGAGAAGCATTGGGAAAAAAGACTGCTGAAGCGAAAGGTAAACAAAATGAGTATATGCGAGTCTATAGGCAACAGAAAAAAGCTGGAGAAAGTGCTGAAGAAAGAGAAACTCGCTTGGCAAAACTAAGAGAAACGTGGCAAGAAAGGACTCCAGAAGTTAAAGGTAAGCGAAAAGAGTATAAGAGAGTGTATGATTTAGATAAAATGCAAAATGAGACTGAAGGACAACGAACAAACAGGGTACAAAAGAGAAAACAAGACCGAGCAACCGAAACAGTTGATGAGCGAGCAAGAATACTTGAAATACTACGAGCAGTTTTTCACAAAGCAAGTTCAAATGAAAATGACCAAAAATCAGATGAGCAGTTGAGTATGTCTGTTGATCTGGCAACTGTAGATATATCCTCTGTTCTTGAAGCAGACAAGGATAATGAGTCTGTACATGAAGCAGAGGGGCCAGGGGTGAGTAGAAATGAATATTTACATGAGGGTGGTTGGCAAAATGTTGACAACCCTCTGCATGAGCTAGAGTTTGTACAAAATGAAATGCACAGTTTTCATTTAGATCAAGAACATTTAGAGCATTGACAATGTACAATGTGTAAAGAAGCTTGGCCGACACGACAGAACTTAGCATCAGAAGTATACATTTGTTACCGGTGTAAAAGAGACAAGAAATCACCCAAGAAATTCAGTGCGGAGAATGACATGGATCCAGGAAGAGTTCCTGAACAATTGAGAGGTTTGACACAGGTAGAAGAAATGTTAATTTCAAGGGTTTGTCCCATTATGAGAGTGTATAGAAAACATGGGGGTCAGAGGGGGTATAAAGGACATGTACTTAACTTACCACAAGATATTCAAAGTTTGTTGAATAGGTTGCCTTCTCGTGTGGCAGACTTGCCTGTCTTGATTGTCCGAAGACATGGTGCAGAAGACACATATCAAGACTTTACTGTGTGTCGACACAAAGTTCTTGAGGCTGTACTATGGTTAAAGACAAACAATCCGTTCTTGAAATTGATAGAGATGTCATCCAAAGTTTACCAGAAAATGGTATTCCTGATGAGCTAAGGTATGTCATTGATGAAAATGAGCTTTCAGTTCATGTTGAAAATGAGGGGCCTCCCCAAGACCCAGTAATGAGTGCTAATGGAGGTGTGGAAGAGTTAGTTTTAGGAAGTGGCAGTACATCGTTTATTCCTATGCGTCAAAGACAGAGAAAAGAAGGTGCGGCTATCCAAGATGCAGTAAATGAGGTTGATCTGTTAGACTGGTCATCTACTGAAGGTAATCTCATTAATGAATTTAAAACAGATGGTTTAGCTACTATGGCCTTTCCTACATTGTTTCCTTATGGGAAGGGTAACCCAACAAATAGGGCAAGACAACATGGTATAACGTTAACCGAAGCTTTCAAACATTTAATGAAGTTTGCAGAGTCGCTTGCAGATGGTAAGTTTGAATGGAGGTTTGCTTCTCACCCACGGTTTCCTTATTGGGCGTTAAATATGAAACAACGGCATCAGCTGTTGTCACAAGCGTTTACTTGCGTCAACACCCTGCTGATGCAAACATGACAATGGAAGAACTGAAGCAGATGGTCAATTCCATGAGTGCAAATCAAATGGTAAATAGGTTGCAGCGCTATGTGTCCAAAGTACAAGGTACGAATCAGTATTGGTATCAGCGGCTGCAGGAATTGCTGGCCCTGATTGAACAAAAAGTTTGCCCTACTTTTTTCTTTACCTTTAGTGCAGCTAACATGCATTGGCCAGACTTACAGAGCCTGTTGCAGAATGATGAAGGTGCAAGCAGATCTGAGCGAGCACAAGCTGTAATCGACAATCGCCATCTGACTGATTGGTTCTTTATGCAGCGGCTGCAGGAGTTTGTCAGACATTGGCTTAATGGCGTCTTGGATGCTGAGTGGCACTGGTATCGATTTGAGTACCAAGCTAGGGGAAGTATTCATTGCCATGGATGTGCAAAGTTAAAAAATGACCCTGATATTCGAAAATTACGTAATAAAGGATGTGTTGCATTCCTAGAGAGTGAGACAACAAGGTACGAAATGTCACCTGATGATTTTGAATTCCTTTGCGGGGATGTGATAAGACAGGGGAGAAGATGCTGAGAAGTTGTTAAAACAGTAAAAAAATATTTTCCATATTAATGTTTCCAATGCGTACTATACGTAGATCAAGCTAACTGTGCAGAATCTGTTGTGGGATAATTGTTTCAATAATAAAATTTTATCCTGCAACAGGCCTTCAAATGCATGTATACCGGCACAATACCGGTTCATAATTATTGCAGTAGTTACACAATACCGGACTCGCTTCTCATAGTGCAGGTCAAATGTTCATGTCAACTACTGTAAAAAGCGAATTTTGTATTATGCATGTATTAACCACTGCTGCCTATTTTGGATATAACTTTTGCCTAAAATTGTCGCATACAACCTGCTTATATGCATGTATACAACTTGAGTGTACTGGGTGAACCAGCACACAACTATGCCTATGACAACGTAAGTGAGTAAATGCAAGTTTAATACAGTGAATAACAGTGTCAACTTGTGTCCTTGATAATTTACACAGTAAAACTCAAGTTCTACAAGCAGGTTGCATAAGGCAAAAGTTGTGTAGTGTAAATCTGCCTTAATACACAAAACACTCACCAAATATCCAGCTAATAATATATGCAGATAGCCAATCTCCACAATTTTGAAAGGTCTTTCGCCCATCTTTTTGATTATTATGCATATTTTATTATATTATAATACGGTAGTATTAACGACATTAACTTTGCTACATTAAAATTGAAAAAGTAACAATATTTTACATGTAAACAAAAATTCCTAATAAAATTCCTTAAAAGGTTTCAATTTTCCTCAAAGGAATTTTCAATAATTTCTGAAGATTTCATTGGAATGTAAGAAATTACATAAATAGAAAGTGGAAATTTAACTGTGGTCATACAGGTTTCACAGGAAAATGCTTCACTCAGTCAATGGTGTGATTAAAACTGTTTTATGACTAATTCGGTAACATTTGGCTAATAGAAAAAGCGCACATGTTTAATAATAAGTTATGATTATTTTAAAGGTATGTTGACTGGCTGGTGACAACTTTTAATGAGGAATTGCCAGATGAAAACTGGAGGATACCAGACCCTCACCCATCTGCTGTTAGTGCTACAACAGTGGATAATCGTGACGATAATTATCACAGGTTAGTTAATACTGTAGAACAACACACTAGATGCAGTCCAGCATATTGTTTGAAACAGAAAAGAGTGGACCTGCTTGCAGAATGCAGATTTGGTTTTCCAAAGCCATTACAGGAAGAAACAGAACTGAGTCTTGAGCTAGTGGTGGGTAAGAATACTAAGTCTGTTGAGTCTGAGTTACACACCAAACGAAATGATCAAAGGTTAAATTCACATAACAGGGTGATGCTCGAAAACTGGCGGGCTAATGTAGATTTGCAAGTCATTGTAGATGAGAAAGCTTGTGCATGATACATGGCCAAGTATGCTGTGAAAGGAGAACCCCGATCGAAATCAGCGTCAGAAATACTAAAATTGTCTGTGTCCTCATTACAGAATGATGATCAAGTCTCTTCGGCCTTCAAGAAAGCAATGATCCAAGTTGCTGGAGATAGAGATATGGCAGCACAAGAAACTGCGCACATGCTACTTAGTCTACCACTGATTGGCTGCACATTTAGTTTTGTTACTATTTCTTTAGATAACAGCAGGAACGTTAATATTGATGCAGAAAATGAAGGCGATGAGGTACTTAAAAAATCTGCGCTACAAGAATATACAGAACGTACAAAATTAAAGAGTAGGTATACAGGCTTGTCTCAGCTAAATCTGATGCAATATGTGTCACAGTACACGAAAGTCAGAGGTGAGTTGTCAAAACGAGCAAATCCGTACATTGTCAGGACATTTCCAAAGATTTCCGCTAATCCTGCTGGTCCTGATTTTGGAAAATACTGCAAATATCAACTAATAAAGTTTAAACCATGGGAGGGTCAACCGTCAAATGCTTGGAACGACGAGGATGAAAGTGATCAAATGTTTATTAATGCATATGAATTTTTTCTTATGACAGATGAATTTGCGGAAGAAAATGTGTTTAGGTATTCCGATGAAACAGACAGAGTTCATGATGCGCAATGTGGTCAAACTTTTGAAAACGATCAAAGTGACAATCAAGATGATGACAACGAAAGTGAAGTTGACCCTGATGATGAGGAAGTCGATGATTGGATGTTGTTATGCAGAATTAACCAAGATTATGGTGAAGCAGGGAATCGGATGTCAGACAATGAAGCAGTGGACTGGTTTGAAACGGTAAGAGCTGTGCCTAGATTGTTAAGGGAATCTCCAGGATGGATCTATAGTCAGAGAAAGGAGGCTGAAGAACATGGTCAGCATTTTCGAGAAGATGATCAACAATGTGTAATTGATCCGGGGACCCTGAATGAAAAACAACGCCTTGCTTACAACATCATCACATCTCAGAATGGTGATAATGCCGAGCCTGTTTATATGATTGTGTGTGGAACAGCTGGCACAGGTAAGACATACTTAATAAGTGCAACGAAACAAGTATTAGCCGCCCAGTGTGTTGTTACAGCAACTACTGGGATTGCAGCCTTTAAGGACCCCGAAGCAATTGCTTTTACAGCCTTGCTGATGAGAATGCGAAATGGAGAAGTGACAGGGGAGGACTGGAAACTATTGTTGGAGCATTCAACAACAAATGTACCAATGGATCAATTTACTGATGCTATCCGATTGTACTTTGACAAGAAAAGTGTTGCTGAATACAATTACGAGAAGCTATTGCAGCTTGGACAACCTGTTGGTAAAATTCAGGCAAAGCATTCTGGTTATGGTGCCAGTGCGGCCATGTCAGACGAAGCTGGTGGATTGGACGCTGTTCTGTTTTTATCCACAAAAGCAGAAGTAATGCTAACTTGCAACCTGTGGGCTGAAGTTGGTCTCTGCAATGGCTCATTTGGCACTATCGAGCAGATTTGGTTTGCAGAGAATATGGGTCCACCAAACCTGCCAATAGCAGTATTGGTACACTTCCATAGTTACTCTGGTCCTGCATTTTTAGATTCATGTTGTAAATGTATACCTGTGCCACCGAAAGTGTTTGAATGGGTGGCTGATGGAAAGTACTTGTCAAGGCAACAAGTGCCCTTGCGGTTAAGGTATGCAATGACCATTCATAAGTCACAAGGACAGACACTAACAAAAGCTGTTGTTGATTTAGGTAAAGGAGAAAAAGTTGCTGGATGCACATTTGTAGCTACATCGCGGGTAAGATCGATTCATGATATTGTGTTTGAACCTATGACATTTGATCGCCTGAAAGCAATTGGTAGGAGTAAAAATATGCAAAAACGACTCCAAGCTGAACAGCGACTTAAAGTGCTTGCAGAGAAAACTGTCCAAACATATAGTACAAGTACGTCATGAATTGTCATTCAATAGTTGTGGTGTTTGAGCACCAGTATACTGGGCACATATACTGTGCTTTCGAGGTTATTTCGCCTGTTACTAGGCACAATTTTAGAGGTGTAGTACACAAGTTTCAAATCACACCATCAGGGCCGCTTAGAGGGCACACATTCCAACTCTCCCGATTTTACCAGGACTCTCCTGAAAATTCATGCAGTCTCATGGTCCCCTGATTTTTGTTATTTTTTATTATTTTTCCCCTAGATTTCAATTCACTGAACAGTCTCCCTAAATTTTACCTCCAGTAATTGGAATGTCTGAGAGGGGGAGGTTTCAATTTGCCCGGGACCCCAGATAAAAGGGGGGGACGGGGGTGGTCTAAAAGGTGTAATTTTAAAAAATTATCTGGAGCATTTTTTATATACTGTAAGTAATGGTACGAGAGAAATCGTTTGGACTTTAAATTTACTGGTATTAGTCAGAAAATATGGAAAATGTCTTTGAACCTAATCAATTTTACTTGTATTTGTCTGGAATTTTTTTTTAATCTTTTTTGGATATGTTTTGGGCAATTTGTCGACGCTGACTCGTTTCTTCTTGAGTTGCCATTTTCGCGTCGAAGACCAAAAATATAGACTTTCGGAGAATATTTTAGCTGTTTACTATCAAATATGTTTGTGAAACAGTTGATAATCTCACTGAGGAAGGCCAACGGTTTCTGGAAAGCTAAAGTACGTCGAAATCAGCGTTAGAATAGACTATATTTTCACCGGGGAAACATGAACTAAATGGATATTTACATCAACACACTAAATTTCGCTCGTGCCTACAGAGCTAGTTGGATTGAAACAGATGTTAAGAAGTAAGTGAAAATGTGAATTTTGTGAATTATACTTTCATTAAAATGTTTCACAAGGGCTGCTAATGTCAAACTACACGTGTGACAGAGCTGTCAGTATACCCATATTTCAATGTTTATGTTGAAATGACCCATCTTCTTTGAGGTATAGCTTAAAATTTAGGGTATGCTCATCACTTGAAACTAGCTTTAAATCAAAGTTTTATCTATAGTCTTTTTATTAGAATTGAAATCATTCATGGGAAAAATGTGCCAGAGGGTTGAAATTGCCCTTGTAAATGTACACTATTTTTTATATGTTTGGGTTAATATTTTGAAAAGGCGTTCTGGAAGGAAAATATGTCTTGAACAATACTGTTTGACCCTTAAATTATAACTAGAGTTATGTAAATCACAGAAAATTGAAAAAAGTCTGGTTCATACACAATAGTTTGGATTCTATGAGGTCCCGAATGTGGCTTATTTCAATGTTTAATCTGTTTACCTGGCAAAACATAGAAAATTGAATAAGTCAAGAATTTGACTATGCTCATCACCCAAAACCAGGTTTTTCTAATTGCTTTTTCATCTGGGTTTGTGGCAATACCAGTTATGCAACCACGAAAAATGCGCGCGGCACTTTTTTTGGACACTGAAGATGACAACATTTGGTGTTGTTATCTATTGCCATCCTCTTATCATAGTATAACTTAACTTATATTAGTGAGTTTGTTAAATAATTGTGCTCACTATATGCCTGTAGTATCTAAGATTTTTTTCATAGCATTAGATGATAAATTTAAGTTCTGTTTTCTTTTATTTTTAGGTGATAGTATCTGTTCACATGTGTGTTGGTATCAAATTTTGCACAAGATTAAATTATTATTTCACATTCCTTTATTGAAATATCCAAATAAATGGAATATGAAATCAAGCTGGAGGACTAAATCCTGTTTCCAAACTTGTTTTTGTAAAAATAGAAAATAACAACTTATTATGTGTTGTTCCATAGGCAGCCCAAAAATTGTTGTAGAATGTTCTAAATGTCGATCGGTGTTAAAACTCGCCCTATTCCTCTTAACTTTGTCGCGCGCCGCAAGCGCCGCCATATTGAAAAGCAATTGATAATATATAATAACATAAGGTTGGCAACTATATATACTGGATTACGAACATACCACTCGAACAAAAAGCAAAACACTCACTGATCCAATTGGTCAACAAAATAGACAGTTTATGACGTTTCTTGCAGTGAAAATTTGGAAACAGGGGGGGGGGGGGCGAACTACTCAACCAGAAACAAGATAGTAGATAAAATACAAAGCAAACAAAATTGTCTGTATAGCGTCTTTTGTCGGAAATTAAATTGCGAAAAATACCGTGCGTATACAATTTTTTAAGTCATTGTAAAACAGGTCAAAAGGAAAAATGTGAAGTAGAAACTCCGTGGACGTATAATTCAGGTATGTTTACTATAATTGACTGAATACTATCAAATTTGAAAACATAAAAAAACATTTTAATATTAGCGACATTGAAACACAAAGGCGAACTACGTATAGAGTAGCAAAGGATATAGCTAATATATATTATATACTGTTTGTAAACAAACAAAAAATAGCATTGAATAACATACCTGTTTATTCCGTGTCTTTACGAAGCTTGATAGTAAACAAAATTGACAAATTTCCATCGTTTTTCGTAACAGTGAAAACGCTGAAAACGGAAAATAAAGTGCGAGAATATGGCGACCAAGAAGCCAAGTGGGTTTTGCAACGATGTTTAACACATTTATTTTTGTGGTAAGTTGACATACACACAAAACCTCTAAAGCGTCGGTAGTTGGATGAAAATAATTTTAAATCAGTCCTACGTTGGCTCTACGTTTATACTCCTAGTATATGCATGTAATTATGCCGGCCCTGGCTAACTTTCGCTCCGGCGCGAAGCATCTTGCCTTTGCAAAAGGCTTGCGTTTAAAAATTTTAAAAAAGAAGACTTAAAGGTAGGTTACAGTCCCTTCTGCGCATGTCTGTGATTGTTTTTGCCTGGGGACTCCACCGGAAGTTGGGCATCTCGGTTTATACTCGGTCCAGTCTCATTTCTGGCCATAACACGCGTGTTGTTTTTTTTTCGCAAGCGAAGGAGTGAAGCTAGAAGTTTCCAAAATATATTGAGCTTTTTTGAGCGACAATCCTTCAAATAACGAGTTTTTGAGGCAACATGACGAGTAGGAAGAATACCACGCTAGCAGGGATGCTTCCAAAGTGTATCAAAGTGTATCTATTTTATTGTTTTCCTCGATGGAGAGCGTGCCATTTCTGTCTGCGTTTCCCCATGATATACCTACATCCTCAAGCTTCTACTAAAGGTTTTGAAGAAAAGAATCCAAGAAGGATTGGACATTTCACCCAACATAGCTGCTATTCACTCCCTTCACTGTGGATACTTCAGTGAAATCGCTTGTTGAAGCCCATCAATCGAGGTTTTAATGACTATAAAATTCTCTTTATTTACTATTTTAAATTTTAATTATACACTATCGTTACATACGAACTGTTCTATCTCTTTTATTTACAAACTGAAACCCATATAATTAAGGCCTAAAGATATGATACTCGTGAGTAGGAGTTGTCAATGAAAAAGTGTTAATGAGCAATTTGGAGTCAACATGTTTTGGATGGCTGTTTATATAGTGTTTATTGTCAGAGTGATAAATGATATAAATTAATCTACTTGACCGTGCTTTACTGTCTTTGACTGTCTTCTCATGGACAACTTGTGCTCACTTAATAGAAACACATAAAAAGTTTCTCTGATCAAAGTATATTTTAATCAAAGCAGCTTACAGCCCTCGAAAACGAGGTCGGCATTCGGCAATGCCGACCTAAATGCCGACCTATCAACCTCCCAGGCCGGCAAATTTTTGCCGATTTTAATCCAGCAAAAGTAAGAATTTTTTTGTGCTGATAGCTGTTAAAAAGTCAGCGATTATAAAATTTGATTCGTAGTTCGATAACTAAACACACTTTGGCGTAAGGTTTAAAAATTGACTTTTAAAAATTAAATTAAATTAGCTCAGGTAACCGGGCTGGCTCGCCTCCATATAAACACCGCCTAAGACATTTAGTTTATAAAACATTTTGATCACAGAAACTTATATGATGTAAACAAACTCAACTAATAATTACTAGTATATTTTTTCACCCTAACTTTACTATATACACCCTAACTTTACACCTATAGCTTTACACATTGCTATTAGTTAGATAATTTGTGCACAATTTATATACATGTATATACATGTAAATTATACCTCACATACCAAAAATGAGTCGCTTTTCTTTAAGAATAATTTAACCTAATTTCCAAGCTCTAATGATCATGTAGTCACTACATGTATTGTCCAAAGGTGAGGTCTGGGGGTTTGAAATCCGAGCTTTCTTTCTCCTAGATGGATTGCCAGACGCCTTCTATACAAAGCAATCTGAAACACAAGCCAGTTCATATTGTACTATGATTGCCTGATTTTGTGTCACAAAGAGAGGCACCATACCATATATATATTGTCAGAACAAGCTGCCATGGCCTGTTTTGTGACATGAAATCAGACAACACAGTAAAACCCTGCATCAGAGGTGGAAAAAGTATCGGAACCTGGGAACCTAGTTCCCAGAAATTTTTTTGAGTTGAGAGATTTGCAGAAAATTTTCCAGAAAATATTTTAACATTTTGAGATAATCTGTTTACTTCAAATATTTGACAGAAATTAATTATTTTACCCACCCCTGCCATCACAATGAGGTAAAATGATAATTATATGCTCTGCAACGTCCAGGGCCATAGGAAGCTCTTTTTAATAATAATAGTTTTATTGATCATCTTTAGTGTAAAAATACAATGGATTTACAGTTAGTAAAATCTAAGTAGTAGTCTAGGAGTTATATGTACAGATAAAAATTTTAGGAGTAGTTATAAAAATATTGTCTATAATAGCGAGTTTGTTCTCGGAATAAACGATAGTTCATGCCTTTTAGTGTATGAGAGAAATTGGGGAAGAGTTTTTGGTGTTCTTAAGTCATACGTGTTCGTCACTACGTCAGGTATATATTTCCTGCATGGATGCGTTTCATCATTAATAATTTTCTTGTACTCACGAATGGCAAGATTATCCCGACGT